ATAAATACGGTATACAGATTATTAACGATGCTGATATTAAATGGCCAGATTTTAAAGTTACACAACTAATCAACGCCGACTGTATGAGGGTGCATGTTGGCATTTACAATTTGTTTCTGCATCCATAAACACGAAGAAACCTAAAGACTGGTCGAAATGCTTACGCGCAGATTTTGATCAGTGCATTCGTTCCATTACTTGACAGCCTTAGAGAATTTATTGGGATAAGCATTCAGGTCAGTGCGCTTTTATGATAGATTTGTTGATGGCCAAACTAGCAGGTAGTTCGTGTTACTCATGTAAAGAGGGCTGCATAAAACATGATAAATGAGTTTAAATAAAGCGACCATATTTGTTTCCCCATCTTTTTGCATGTGTGAAACATTAGGCCATCGAACTAAAACTACGAGTATAGGCGTGAATATATGCAGTCATCGGCGTTTCCGTAACCAAAATGGTTAAAACGATGTCCATGACGGTCTTCAGATCTTTAGTTGTATGAGATTAAAACTCGTTGGAAGTTTTTTATTATTTTTTTTTATTTTTAATATCTCGTGTTTGATTAGGGCGTTTTTATAAACTCATAATTAATGCAATATTTTCATACACCTGTAATTAACATCGGATTTTTATCACCATCATCAACAGCAGCAGAAGCAGCATCGGTCCTATAACGGAGCATGATTGTAGTTTTCCTATGAAACTGAACACCTGGGTAGCTTCTTCCGAATGTCAATGCCTATGTTGGAATTGGGAGAGGTATTAAATTACGTGTAGCGTGTCTTGAGCAAAAAACCTGTCTGTGCAAATCTTTCATTTGGTGAGACAACAGCCGATGTTTTACAAATTGAAGTCTCTCCTTATTTGGGTTGATACTGTATTTTCAACCCCAAATAAAAATAAGAATTCCAGCACTTGACAATTGCTTCGTCATGAAAGTCGGACTTATGACTTTAATGTAATGTATTATGTATATATATATATATATATATATATATATATATATATATATATATATATAATATATAGTTTATGAAAAAATAGGTAATCCGTATGGGTAAACCAAAGGAGGATAAAATCCAGAGAGCTCAATGTAAATCCAGAGCAAATAATTTAAATAAAAAACAGACCACTTTAAGGTTTCATGTAATAAATTATTTCACCACAGCCCTTTTAAAGGACTTCGGATCATCCGCAGTCCTTTAAAAGGGCTATGATGAAATAATTTATTACATGGAACCTTAAAGTTATCTGTTTTATATTATAATATATATATATATATATATATATATATATATATATATATATATATATATATCTTCTTAAAAATATGATTCCATCGCGACACAAAAAATTTCCATGTTTCAAAACTGAAATGAAATTTATAAATTTAATTATAAAAATCAAATTTAATATCCATAGTCTCGTTTCATTGACAAGCTATGTTAAGAAAAAAGAATTCAAAGAAATTTACCTAAATTATAAGCGCAGACAATATTGGTATTATGCGTTGTTAAGGTTAATGAAAGTCTATTTTAATTTAGGTTTGGCTGGGTTTTAATGTTCCTAGACAAGTTATGCATCCAATACATGTTAAGTTTAGGTTGGGTGGGGTGTCTCCTAACAAATTTATTCTTCCATTATTTAGTGAGTCGTCTGGGTTTTCAGTGATAAAAAATGCATTTTTATTCATCCGCTTAATTCCTATTTTTATACACAAAGATTTTCTAGAAGGGTCATTTAAATATGTTCAAGGCATATTATTAATATTTAAATTTTATTCTTATAGATTTAAAGTACCATTCGACCTTCTAATAACTAATACACTATACGGTATATTTACAAATAAATATATTAGAATTTAATTAGTAATTAAAGATCAAATATAAACATGTATGATTCATCTCTATTCTTTATTATTTTATTTCTTCAAAATTAATTATTAATTAAGGAAAATATTTGATAGTGCCTACAAAAATAACTATTTCCTTTCTTTGATTTAGTAATTCTTTATTTTTCAGAAACTTAATAATGTATATATTTTCATGTATACAGAAAGGACATGGGTCTTTTAATGACCTAAAAGCTGTAGCTTTTCTTATTACTTTCTATTTTACTCTTGTTTTTTATTGGTTTCTTTTAAGTGCCAGAAATATTTAGATAGGAACGTTTGATTTCAGTATTTATTATTATTAAAGGACGTTTGACGTTAGCTCTACCTTCGTTTGAATTCATTTCGTGTGCATCCAAAGTAGAATTTAACAATGTCTAGATATTGCATTGATAAATTATTGATTCAATACGGCATTTATTATTAATAGGACAGATTTGAGGATTTCTACAGTTGCATAATTTTTCTTCATCGTCGTTTCTTTTTATTTTAGGATCTATATATTTTTGATTTTGTTATAAGTGTTTATTTAAGATATTAGCATTATGTTTCTTGATAATCATTTCTAAACTTTTCAGTACAACTGTAACATAATTTTTGGGTATTTTTATTAAAAATTGTACAGAGTTTAATATCTCTAGGAAAATGTTTATCGATTAATGCAAGGAATTTTTCTCCTAAGTTATTTCTTACCAATTGGTTGTATGGTGGTGTATACCTAATGATTCTTCTGTTTCTATTTTCTCTATGATGTACATTTTCATTTATTATATAATTGAGTTTTGGGCATTTATAGCAACTAATATTTAGAACTTTATTTTAGAAATTAATATATTCATAGAATATTTTCTCATTTGCTGAATTTGTACTTATTCTTTTTTCTATAGATGAAGGTATATATGAAGGTGTATGCTTAATTATAGATGGAGGATGATTAGACTTAAGGTGTATATACAAAAGATTAGTATTGGGATCTTTGTAAGGTAGGCATATATTAATCATTAAATCTAGTGTTTTATCAAGGAAGTTAACTTTTTTCATTTTAGTAATTTTCAAGTTTAGACATTTAAATTCTCTATGGAATAGGTTTCTAATTTTCTCAATTCTAAATTCGTAGAATTTCTTCTAACCATAAGTCCATCGTCTCTGTAGAATCCAATGTTATTTATACTAATTTCATGATATGCAGTAATATTATATAATACAAAAAGACCTATAAGATGAAATTATTTTGTAGAGGGTTATTATGACTAAAATGTTTGTCGATTAAATTTAGAAAATATCTGCCAACATTTATATTAGATAGTTTACAGAAAGGTGGATAAAACCAACCTTTTTTTTTCTTTTTCTGTTTTAGGTTTTATTAGTTGTATTGTTATTCAGATATTCCTGATAAAACAATTTTTATTTGAAATTACTATTATTGAGGGCTTCGTTATAAGTTATTTTATTCTCTTTGAAGAGTTTTTATTAGACGATCATCTATTAATTCTAGTGCTTACAGTGTTAGGGATTTCTATAATTATTGAGTTAGGGTGATTCTAGTTGACAGTAATATATAGTGGGTTTGATTCTCTTCATGAAATGCCTTGACTGTATTGTAAAAGAGGTTGAAAGTGATAACTAAGAAATTAATTATTTTAATTAACAAATTAATTTTACTTTAATTCACTATTTTTTCATCCAAGATAGTAATGGTCCTCTATCTTCTAGAATACAATAAAAATTATAAGGGCTTACCAATTTCTGGTTTTAAAATTGAAATCTTGTCTAACTTTAAAATAAAATCGCCAATATTTTACTTCGATAAAGCCCTTCGTAAATCTGGGCTGTACTTGTGAGTAAAGTTTCTGTATTTCTATAAGGCATGGACTACCAGGGATTCCTTCATTTAGTCTATTTGAATCTTTTTTCAATCAATCCTAGGGTACAACAGCAATTTTTAATGTCCTCATGTGCCACATTTCTTGATTTCAATTTCAAGGTCCTTGTATTTTGATAGTTTTTTTTAAGATCTTCAAAGATACATTGCATTCAGCAGGAATTACCATGTCAATAAGGTGGCACATTTTGTCTTTGCACTATCTAATCAGGATGTCAGGGTGATAAGATGTGAGTGTTCTATGCGCGTGTATTATAAAGTCCCATACATTAGTTACAGATCCTAATTACGTGCAGTTTCCTTATTGTAAGTGTTGCAGATTTTCCAGTGGAGATATTGGCCCACACTGTCGTGTCGAGTTTTATATTTCAGTGGGCGCCTATACCAAGCAACTGGATACAAGATGGCCAGTTGTTTGTGGATATCTATCACAGAATCTTCATTTTGTTCTAACACAATTTTTCAGTATATGTGCAAAGCAATTTCTGTTTATCAAGCATTGGTCCTTTGCAGCAAGAATAACAAAGAAAGTAAGGAGAGTAGAAAAAAGAAAGGAAGATGAAAACTTTAATAATTGAAACCCGGTAAAAAAAGCAAATATATCATTTAAAAAAAAAAAACATGGCGAAATATTGAAAATGTAGGAAAAAAAGAAAGTATATACAAGAAATATGAGAGAGTGAGAAAGAGAGAGAGAAAAAGCGAAAGAACTAGAAAGAGAGACAGACCGAGAAAGAAAGAAAGAAAGAAAGAAAGAAAGAAAGAAAGAAAGAAAGAAGGAAGAAAAAAAAGGAAAAGAAAAGGAAGATCTTTATTAAAGTTTTCATCTTCCTTTATTTTTTCTACTCTCTTGAAACCCGGTAAAAAAGCAAAAATATAATTTAAAAAAAAAAAACATGTCGAATTATTGAAAATGTAGGAAAAGAAGAAAGTATATACAAGAAATATGAGGGAGTGAGAAAGGGAGAGAGAAAAAGCGAAAGAACGAGAAAGAGAGACAGACCGAGAAAGAAAGAAAGAAAGAAAGAAAGAAAGAAAGAAAGAAAGAAAAGAAAAAAAGAAAGGAAGAAAAAGGAAAGAAAAAAAATCAAAAATATAATTTAAAAAAAAAAAAATGGGAAAGATGAAAATTTTAAAAAAAAAAAATATACAAGAAAAATAGCAGAAAAATATTAAAGAAAAAAAAAATGAATTAAATAAAAGAAAATGAACAGGAGGGAAATAGAATTATACAGAGAATTGTCTCGATAGAAGAAAAATATGGTGGAATAAAAAAAGCAAGAAAGAATGAAAGAAGATAACGTCTAAAATAAAGAATAAACAAAGTGCTGAATCACATAGAACAAAAAGTGAAATAAAAAGAAGGAAATGAATAAGACTGAGACAGAGAAGAGATAAAAGGAAAGAAAGCAAGAAAAAGATGGTGAAAGAAAGAAAAAAAAGAAAGAAAGAATGAAAGAAAGAAACGTCTAAAAGAAAGAAATAAACAAAGTGCTGAAGAAACAAAGAAAAAAAAAAGAAAATAAAAAAGAAAGGAAAATGAAAACTTTAATAATTGAACCCCGGTAAACAAAAAAATATAATTTTAAAAAAAAAAGCGAAAAGAAAATTTAGTAAAAAAAGAGAGAAAGAATATACAAGAAAAAGAAAAGTGAGAAAGGGAGAGAAAAAAAGAAAGAACGAGAAAGAAGGGATGAGAAAGAAAGAAAGAAGAAAAGAAAGAAAGAAAGAAAGAAGGGGAGAAAAAAGAAAGAAAAAGAAAGAAAGGTGAGTAGAAAAAAGAAAGGAAAATGAAAACTTTAATAATTGAACCCCGGTAAACAATCAAAAATATAATTTAAAAAAAAAAAAACATGGCGAAATATTGAAAATTTAAAAAAAAAAAAGAAAAAATATACAAGAAATATGAAAAAGTGAGAAAGGGAGAGAGAAAAAGCGAAAGAACAAGAAAGAGAGACAGACCGAGAAAGAAAGAAAGAAAGAAAGAAAGAAAGAAAGAAAGAAAGAAAGAAAGAAAAACATTTTACCTCATGATAGAGTATCGCGTTTCCTGTTGACCACGTGTGTTCTCTGTAGCGGAGTGTCATGCATTGGAGACAAATAATTGAGAAATGGGTAAGCGATGCAACGTGGGTGGCCCTAGACACCATCTGAACATAACACATCCAAGCGATGCATCCTGCAATGTGAATTATAATTGCAAAATAAATAAATAAGTAAATAAATATTTCTTTACCTATAGGCAAATATAACCACATTTTATACGTTTACACCTGTGAATCTATGCTAGTGTGAACATACAAAGATCCACTTTTTATTTGTAGGCATATTTTCCCAACAGCAATGACGACACTTCATAGTGAGTTTTTTGTAAGGACATTCCGGTGAAACTTGACTGTAGCAATTTTTAGTTTCATTTACATTTTTAGCAATAATAATTTTTTCGCTCTCACTGTTCTTTTTTTATATACCAAATAATTTGGGGATATATGTTGACCATGACTCTCCACAGCTTCCTGTGTTTTCTTTGCTCTAATTTAATTTAATCATTTAGCTTCTATTCTGCCAGAAATTCGCACAAGATAGTTAAAAATGCGAGTCACTATTTCTATTTGTATCTCTTGGTTTCAGTATATTCTGTGAGTGTCAAATACTCCAATTCTCCTTTCCAGATTATTCATCTTATAAAATTTCTCTTGGCTGTTTCAGATTGCATTTGCAGCCGTAGTTTTTTTTTTATTCGTACTGTCGATGAACATGTGATATTGAAACACGTGGTTTCTAACTTCATCTACTATTCGATCAAGGCAAAATAATATATAACACTTTTAAAAAAATCATTTCACCTGAAAGCATACAAATAAAAGCCACTAAGGTGTAAGGTGTCAACAACAGAAATTTAAAGAGTCTGAGAAAGAAAGGAAATATTATTAATAAGAGAAGGCAATAAAAGAACAGAGTTCAAAGAGACAAAGATGCCATTTATTACTGCTCTTAAAGTCGAAGTAGCAAAGAAGAGAGCTCATCTGAACAATTTCTCTGAAAATATTTATAGAAAAGATAAAAAGAGGCGACGGTGGTAGGAAAGTTGTGTATATTTCATTTATTATATCTGTAATCTTGTAAATGCTGAAATCATTTAAGTCTGCCAGCATCTCCTATTACAATTCCGTCTGGTCCTGCTGCTTTGTTTCTGTTCAATTTGGCCGGTGGTGATCCCACTTCAAATTTTAATATTTCTGGTCCTTCGACATTTCTGTGAATTATTGGTTGTCTTCTTTCGTCGAGGAAGAGTTATTCCATCTATTTGTTCCAACTCTGAAGTGTTTTTCTTTCACTAATATCAGCGTCCTTTCCTTGGATTTTATGCATTTTATTGATGAGCATGTCTATTTACGATACTCATTGAGACATTCCTCTTTAGCCCGCCTGTATTTATTCCCAATTTCTTTGGGCAGAGTCCTATATTCTGCATCGTACGTGGGCATTGTTTTTTTCACCTTTTCATCATATCGAGAATTCTATCGCTCATCGATTCTTTTTCTTTTTTTTTTGTATATTTTTCTTTGGGGTCATTTGGGTCATTTCGACTGCTTATGTGTCCCACTTCAAGATTCTATTCTCAGTTTGTTCACTGTATCTGCTTTTAAAATTATCCGTATATTTTTCCTTCTCGTTTCAGACATTCAGGAGTTTGTCGCACTGCAATTTGGGCGCTTTCTTCAATCTCTTGAATATTCGTAGTTTTACTCAAAATTTACATATCAGTGAAAGGTGGTCGCTCCCGCAGTCGGTACTTACGTATGTTTTTTTGCGTAAAGCTGCAACCCTGAATCTCTTATGGATAGTGTTGTGGATTCCGAGATGAAATTCGTTCTCCAATGAATGACAAACGCAAGAATGAAATAGGGCAAATAAATGTATTTACACAATAATACAATGGGTAATACAGTTAGTAAATCCAGAAACGCGGTTAGTAGCAAGAATAATATATATGTATAGTCTGGTAAATTCAGTCTCGAAGTAGGACTTCCTTAGACTCTACGTGCTTGTAACTGTGACTTCTACAAGCGGTTACCTCACACTATTACTCTACCTCCAACTCAATCACAATCAGTGCTCTCTCTCTCTCTCTCTCTCTCTCTCTCTCCCTCTCTCTCTGCTCTAACTGACTCTGGGTATTTAACGGCAGCAGTCCACGTACACACTGGTCGAGTCCACTTGTATGAAAAAGGGGTGGACACCATAACAGATAGTTATATAGTCGGTTTAGTTTTCCGTTTTTCTTCACGTGTTTCTCCATGTCCATATGTGTCTTGGCTGTTCTTGTTGGCTACTACCTGATCATTCGCCTTACACCACTGAGTCTCCGCGTTCATTACGAGTTCTTAGTTGGAATTTTGCAGCTATTTCACCGTTGCCTACTTTGGTATTCAAATCTCCAATGGTAGCTGTAATTTCTTGCGATTTAAACAGCTTTGTACATATTATGAAAGGAATTAATTTCAGAAGTTAATCATGGATAATGGCTTAGCAAATAATCCATATTTCCTTCAAAATTCATCATTGGATAATTATTTGACGTCGGACATTTTTAATCACTTCACCCCAAACAAGTCAATAAAGCCACTAACGCGCAATGGTTTACTGAGTGCTAGAGAGTATTTGAAAAAAAAAATATACTGATAAGGAGGGAGAATAAGAAAAGAAAAAGGATTAAGAAGTCATAAGATAACGATTGACCTTACATTTAAATATTCGTAGATCAAAGTTGACTAGGAGATTAGAAACCGGAAGAAAAGATCGACAAGCGAGAAGTGCGTGAAAATAAAGTGTTAGCATAGAAGTTACGGTTGCATCTAGCCGTTTCAGCTATAAAATGACGTGAGTTAGGCACCTCGAGGCGGTGTAATGGTTAGCATGGTTGTCTCGCTGGAACAATTACGACTGAGTAGTGAGTTCGATCCTCACTGGGTGCACCATACTTTCGGCCTTGTGCCACATCTAAGCTACGCGTTGGAAAATCACTATAGAATGACGTGAGCTTGACGTGAATCTAGTACTGCGCTTAATTTCATAAAGTCTAGGCACCATAGAGGAAATTGCATCAGAACAATCACCGTGTGTTGTATAAGAGAAAAATGTCGCTGCTGACACTGTAATTTGAACATAGATCCCCAGAGAGCAAACACAGGCGATCCCATTTGAAATAAGTAGATCACGTGATACTAAAGGAAATGTATATATGCGAATTAGCGTGACGTCTAAACGATCACTCTTTCTATTCTATCCTCTATTACTATACGGATCACTCTTTCTACACTATCCTCTATCTCTATACTATTCAATATACTATTTCTCAATACTGATCACTATACGGATTACTATTCGGTGGTTACATTTCGAGCGAGTATTATCGAGCAAGTACTATTAGTGCGAGTGTTATTCGAAGAATCCTGACTGGCATGTGTTCTATCTGATGTTTTCAACGGCCTCCTGTTCCTTCTCTATTCTCATTTGTCTGTGTGCACCAAAACTGGACAAGTTTGATTTTATGTTCCCAAGGAAACGAAAGGTGAAAATAAATGTCACAGCGAGAAAGTGGTAAAAAACAAAACAAAACACGAATCCAATCTCTTATATATTCAATTGCATATGTCTCTATATTTCGGGGACAACTTCTACCATAAGAATCTAAAAGATCAGCTCTTTCCATAAACCAGTAAGAACCCTGCCTTTCCTCTAACAGCTTACTAGCCATCTCTCAATAACGATGCAAAGATTCGGATATCAGCGTGTATCCTTTAAATGGAGACCCGGAACTATATCCACACGATACTGTAAATGTTTATATAAACCTGCTAACGGAAAACATCAGCATCCGGTCAAATGTCATTTTATCCCTCAGCTTTCATTTATGTATTTAATACTTTATTCACTTTTGATCAAATCAGTGGGCACCCTAAACACCCAAACTCATAAACTTCACTGCTGGTCATAAAAAGTACCCCAAACACTTTGAACTGGGATAAATTAATTTACCATCTGCTTCGAAGAGGGTACACCTACTTTATTTGTAATGTTACAGCGAAGCTGTGGGTCTTTATTCCACAGGGACGTCTAAACAATTGACATAAATTCATGTAGACTTACGGCCATATGGATTTGCAACATCGGTTCTTGCGAGATCGTCGAAGATAAGCAACGTTGAGCTAGTACCTAGATGGGTATTCGCTCAGGAATACAATCTACTGTAAACTTGCATCTGCGGATTGTGGAATGGATAACGAGTCGGAATTGTAGATCGGAGATCCGTGTTTCAATTACAGTCGGCTTCCTTTTATTCACTTACAACGGATTAATTCCTATGACTTCTTTGAGAAAATCATTATTATATCAAAAAATTCTTACAATTTGAAAATAGTTTCTGTCTCTGAATAACCTGCAAAAGTTTGATAAGCCGTAAAAACCATACCAATTACATACATTCATATATTTATACTTGTTCAGTATACTGTATGTAACAGCAAAATTGGCCAAATAGTGTAACAACAAAACTGTTGAATTGTTAGATTGAGCTCTAAATCGTTGTATCTTAGAGGTGATTAAAGATAACTAACTGGAATTCTCCGTGTTTTCTTAAAAATACTATTGGGTGTTACGTTCCGCAATAAGTATGTATAATTAATATTTAAGATTAACAGAAGTAGTGTGATGAAATCAATCAAAAGCAAAGATGACATGTCCATAATTAATTAAACAAAGCCAAAGATCAAAAGCTCGTGATGTACTGAAATAAAGTTCAAATATATCTATCTATCTATCTATCTATCTATCTATATATATATATATATATATATATATATATATATATATATATATATATATATTCCAGGATCATTTCTAAACTTATTTAAGATGATCTTTGTCCTTTCTAAACTTCTAACTCTCTGGCCTGGAATAACAATTAACCACACAGGTTTCAGGTACGATTTCATTTTTAACCCTTTTTTCACTGCTCTTTGAACTGTCATAGGTGAATCTCCTCTCTCCCGGGCCAAACGTCTTATAAATTGAGTTGGATCTTTTCGAATTTATCTCTTTAGATCTAAGTTGAAGTTATGATCCCACTTCCTGTTGTGACCTCCTG